TTTGCAAATTTACCACAACGCGACCAGGACAACCAAGGCTGGTGCAGATTATAAAGGGGAACCGGGCCGAGGGCCACGTAGCCGGGAGATATAAACCGTAAACTCACGCACGTTTCCGGGGATACTGAGAACCAGAAAAAGAAACGAAACGAAAAGAAAAAGAAATGCACACTGAAAGCGAAGAACGAACAACATATTAAAAATGGCAAACAAAATGGCAAATGGCAAACGTACTTTTTGCAGTCGCAGAAGTGAATAACAGTGAACGCGGCATACCTTTTTGCGTTGCCAAATTCCACATTTGTTTAGTGCTTAATGTTTAGCCACCACCGTCGCCGCGATTTGCATGCTGAGCAGGTGCTCCATTATTTATCAGCGAGAGCCCGCCGAGGGGCATGCAAACACATTCAGCAGAGAAACTGATTTATATACTGAGGCGGGAGATGGAGTGGGAGCTGGGCTGAAAAATGTTCGAGCCGAAATTGTTTTCGACATTTTAATGCAAACTGACAATCGGCCCGGCAGGGGGGTCGGATCGGGCTGTCGAGCAGCCCGGCACCTGCGTCGCCATTTTGTCTGGGCAAACAGAGGAGGGGCAGAAGTGATTCCGATCTGCGCTTGCAATTGCCATCAATTTAATCAACAAGGTTGCAGTGCCTGTGCAAATAAGAGCCAGCGCCAGCGCCAACGCCATAATTTTGGTTTATTGTCGGGAATCTGTTAATGCGATGGCTCTCTGCCCAATCCTCCTGCCATTCCCCTAGGACAGCCTCTATCCAATGGCGCTCATAAATAAAAATCACTGTGGCTTGAATTTTGCATCATTTTTTTCCTTCATGCTTCTGTTGCAGCGGGAAAAAGGGTGTGGGAGCATTGGCATTGCATTTGCCCATGTATGAATATTGATTGGTGCGGGTGCGGGTGCGGGTGTGTCAACGCCCTCATCGAATCCCACTTCCACATCCCACTGCGTCTCATTCCTCGTGGTGTGGCAATTTGCAGCTTGTACGTATTTATTGCACACGAAATGCATTCCACAATGCACCGGTAATTTGCCCGTGCCCTCTCCACGGCACTCCAATTGGAACAGCGAGCCTTTGTAGTGTGCAAACATTGGATATTTACTGTAAGTGCTTCGGGGGGCGGTAAAGCCAGGGCTATAGATCCAGCAATCGTCTGTGAGTATTTGAGTTTCAGCTTTAAACTGTTGAAACTAGACGTTGTACAGCTTTGCATTGGAGAGAAGAGCATTCCTTGACCGCAGCCACACAGACCAATTATCCGACTCGCAAAACTTGTCCATTCATTGCCTAATTTATCCTCCGAATGCTGCCCAAAGACAAAAGTTTTCCAGCGCGGCACATCACGCAAAGCCCAATACCCTTAAGGAGCCAGTGGAATTGGGACATCCAACTTCCAACCGCATTTCGCTTGTAATAAATCCAGACAAGGGAAACTTTTTGGCAAGTGAAAATTTATGCCTCGACCCCAGACCCACATCTTCGCGATTTGTTAGGGCTTATAATTCATGTTTTAATTGGCGAAAGCCAAAAGGATCGGCAAGCGGCAGGGTAATGGTAATGTCGAAGAGCCGCATTTATTTATGACTCGTTAAGTGTAAAATATCTGGCGCAAAATCAAGCGATGCACAAACTCTGCCCAGGCTGACTCGAACAATTCTAAATCATATGGCAATTTATGGCACCGTCCCAATAAGGAAAATCTGTAAGATAGCCAACTTCGCCGCGCCTGCTTTTCTATACCCTTGAAGTTCGATAGCCACTATATATGTCACTTTCAAGATGGCCTTTTGTTATGGCGTTCCCTACCCTCCAGAGCCAACAATAAATATTTTATAAAAAATGATAGCTGGAAATTATCAAACAATCCGATCCGATTTGATTTTTAATAAATGCCATATGTAACTTATTGGGTCGGCACCTGGCTGTTGCACATATCTAACCAATTCGATAATACCCTCTTCGGTGTTGCTGCACAGCTAGCAGCCATTAGGCTAATTATAAGTTTGCTCCCAAGTCACAGCTAAGTCCACGTTAGACAGGGAATCGCCGTTTGAAAATATAAACCCATACGCTGATGTCGGCTGGGATCATGAGGGGCACAAAAAGACCCTCATACAGGGCACAACATAAACTACAATAACAATTAGTCGGCTTACGGGGTCCGAGACTTGAAGCAGCATCCTCCCAGCCTCCTGCCAACCCTCATCAGGAGCGAATGGAAAGTGTCCACAAAGTTTGGGCATAAGCTGCTGCAAACAAGGGGATTTAGTGGGTGGGGCAGCTAGTTCGATCCATTGGAGCTAACAAAGGCCGTTCAGGATTGTCATTGTGCCGGAAAGAGGCCAAGCTAAAGAGTGCATGACATACGTTTTTTCAACTATCTACTGACACTTCCATGTCACGCCCTTAGTTATCCCCAAGGAAGGGCATTCAAAGAGACCCCTTCTGGCTTAAAGCTCTTAAGCGTCCGACATTAGATATAGGCAATTTTGATATTTACAATAGTAGATACGTTGTTAAATCGTTGTTACGAGACGAAAATACCAATAAATAGTTTCATTCTTCAACTCATTCTTACCGTAAGTACGGAATTTCTAGTTAATTCTTCGTCTTGTATTCTCTTCCAATAACTGCGGTCTACGATTTTAATGTCAAAGCGGTATCATCCGCCGGTGAGTGTATTTGGACTTCAGCACCTGAAAATAAAGTCTCCTCTCCCCGCATTTGCTGGCTTTTCTTATGATTTCCCAAAAGTCAGGGCTGGCTTGTGGACTGTTTTTGTCATCTTGCGTACGGGCAGGCACAGAGAAAATACTCTATAGAGAGGCGGTAAAGTTTTTGCCAAAGTGCTTTCTTCTCCTCTTCCCTGGCTCTTCCGTGCCTCTAACTCGAGGCTCCTTTCCGGCAGACGCTGGAAGTGTTTATCACACGTCAAAGGCGCTTTTTGTCTTTGCCCAAATCTGCTTCAATTTGAGCCGAGATGAGCGGCGTATAAAAAGTTTTGTTGTATAAACATTGTGTGATTGTTAGAAAAACATGTGCCAGCGGCACATACACATAAACAGACACACACACACACACACACATACAAAAGAGGCATGGGGAAAGTCATCAAACAACGGCATCATCTGCATATGCCACGTCCTTGTCAGCGCCGTGCTCATTCCCGTTATGATGAAAAGTCGCAACTTTTTGCTCCACGAGCGCTTCTCCTCGGAGCGCGTGTGTGTGGCATGTCTGCGTCACAATAAAGTCGCCTTTATAGTCCCGAGATTAGGTTAATCCGTTCGCTGTTGCCAGCGCTATCTGCTCGGCCTTTGTTCTAATGATGGGAAAGAGCGTGTGAAAAGCCTCGGCAATAACTCTTTCTTCCTGCGCTGACATTTGCGTTTGTTGCCCTAATGAAAACAGTTACAGTTTATTGTGCTCACGAGCACACTCCATCCCGCATTCTTGTACATATTTGTCATGCTGCGGGGTTTAATGAACTGCCTACCTCTGGCAGGGCAAAAAGCTTCAGAGAGAGCTTCTGGCGGTGATAATCACCCACCCAAGCCCCGCCTTGCCATAATTTACGATGTATTAAGTGATTTTAAACATTTTGTTGTTGCTGCTTTCGTTCCTTCGAACCCTCCGTGGCACGTTTACCGCCATGGGAGAGGGTCGGACCTCAGCCAAATCCATCCGCAGGAAAAAGGCGGGCGGGCATTCTTTTGAGGGCTCAGCTCATGCAGTTGACATGTGCCAGGGAGGTTGATTAAATTAATGAAATAAATTATGAGCTGCTCATCACCGTCTCGCTGTTGCCTTTTAAATTGAGTGTGCGCCATCTTGAAATTAATAATGTGACATCTTGGGCCTGGCTGTGGGCTGAGGGCTGCGGCTGGAGCTGAGCGAGACAGGTGCCACACACGTCTTTCGAGTTCTTTTAATATCGCTGCGTCGTAAATGGAGTACCTAAGCCAACATACACGATGGCCATCTGTCTGGGCCGAGATTCATGCGCAAGCATAGATTTTTTGCCAGCTTAAATTTATGTACTTAAATTCATTAATACCATCGGAGCGACATACCGCATGCGCCGCGTGCACCCGCCTGATTGCATGCGGAAGCGGAAGCAGCGCAGACAGCTGGCTTTGATTATTGAATTAAATTGGCTTTAAGCTGGCTTCCCAATCAGACACCATTCTCTTCCATCTCTCCAATACAGCCAGCATTTTGCGGCCGGATAATTTCCAGTAAACGTGACAGTTTATAAAAACTGTGCAAAAAAGTGTTCGTATTATGGATGCAACGCAATAAAAATACAAGAACACCTCCGTCTCAGGGACATGGCCACTTGTACGAGTTTTCCACTTAACTCTCTCCCCAGAAGCTGCTACAATGCATTTAAGTGCGATCATTCTTCCGACTATGTCGCTTCTCTATGTGTGCGTGTGTGCCACAGTTGCAATTGCAAATGCCAATGAACAAGGTCCGGACATTTGCATCCAGTGTCGTACGAGCAGTTCTTCTACGGCTCCACACTCCAACTCCGGGTCGACCCGACTTGGCCTGGACAGAAATTAACAAAATGCATTTCACGAACTGAGCTAAACCCTTTCCTACCTCATCAGAATCAACCTACGGAGCCACCAAATTAGCAGGCGCACACAAAAGGCGCTCGTCAGAGTAGCTCTCGGTCTCAGAGCAGGGTTTACTCGACAATGGACCAGCACAAAATGCCATCAAGTCAACAAAGGAATGGCAGAGGTAATAGAAACGGATTGGGAGGTGCCAGTGGGAGTGGGAGAGTGGAAGAGTTGGAGAGTGGGGTTATAGGCTATGTTTGCTGCCAGACAGCCACTATGGCGTTGGCTGACTTTTGTTACCCATGTTGCTTTTGCCCCTAGGCTTCTCCCTCTGTAGCCAGTAACTGAAGGAGCCCAGACTGTGCACAGTACTCGTCCTGGAACAATAAAACAGACATGCCGGGGATGATATGCAATTCCAAATTGAATGGTTACATTTATTCGAGGTTAATTCTTGCTGGCTATGAAATCAAAAATCAAAATCGAAGTGCATTAAAACTCATCGTCGTCGTCATCGATGATGGCCACACGTCGCCGTTTGGCGGGCTCCCCGCTGCCGGTATCGACTTTTGCTGGCTTTTTGCGAGCCAGAAAGTTGGCATCATCGTCGCCTTCCTCCGCCGCCTCGTCTGACTCTTGTCCATCGTCGCTGCGTGGGCGTTTGTTTGTCTTGTCAGCAGGCGAGGCGCCACCAGCATCATCGTTGTCGCTATCCGAGTCAATTACATTAACGCGACGTGCACGCTGCAAGGACAGCGATGAGGACTTGGTGGTGTTGTTCTCTTTGTTTTTCTCCTCCGCTTCATCCTCCTCGTCCTCGTCCTCCAGCTCGAGCAACCGAGCACGATAGTCCTCCGAGTTAAAGTTAAATGCATCATCGTCCCCGTCCCCGTCCTCGTCCCCTACGGCCTTTGTTGACTCATTTAGAACCATATCGCCCAGTTTGATTTTAGTGGCTCGCTTGGCTTTCAATTGTTCAAATAAATCATCCGTGCTGGCTCTGCTCGGTTGCTCCGTTTCTTTCTCCTTCTCCTCTCTTGGCTTTAGCTTTGGCTTTGGCTCTGGCTTTGGCTCATCATCATCCTCCTCTTCGCTGGACACATCAGGCTGCCGTTTCTTGCGTGCCAATTTGCGGGCAATTGCATTGACTTCTTCCTCATCGTCGGACTCCTTTGTCTCCATAGCTTTGGCCTTCCCCTTGCGCTGCCGCTTGGCCTGCTTCCCGTTGCCCTTTCTCTTCAGCGCAGCTCGTTGCTCGGCCTGGTCATCGTCATCGCTTTTGCTAAACATTAGGCTGTCCAGCCTGCTCTGCTGCTGAGCTGTTATGTTCTCCGCTTGGGCCTGTTGTCGCTGTCTGCTGCGCTTGTCCAGATAGTCCTCCTCGTCATCTTCCTCATCGACATCCTCCTCCCGGATATTCTCTGGCTCAATTTCCACCTCTTCGCCGGACACGATTTTAGCACGTAGCTTCAAGTCAGCCGCATTAAGATAGGTCGGAACACGCCAGTAGTTCTCCATGCCCGCAATTGGCGGTTGCATGCCGAGTGCCACCAGGACTTTCTGAAAATTACCATCCTCCATGGCGTCTTTCTGACTCTGCTGCAAAGGTAGCAATGGCACACCATCATCATCCTCGGCTGGCTCGTCGGTATCGTCGCTAGCGTCGTTCAGGCATTCTGTGAGCCACTCAAAGGCTGGCTGATACTTTTCCGTATCGACCTGAGCGATTAGGGCTTGCACCGTGCCCACATCAAGGGGAGTGCGCACCACCTGACGTGACCTGGACTTATTTTGTGGCTTCCTGGTTCCGGCATCTTCAAACATGGGCTCCTCCATGTATTCATCTGCTTCGCTGCCACTGCCACTGCCACTGTCGCTGTTCGCCTCCTGCTGCCTCTTCGACTTGCCCTTGCCGCGCCCTTTGCTGGACTTGGCGGGCAGTATCTCCGACTTGTCCGCTATCAAGTGAATCTGAAGCATTCTCTTGATGATCTGCTGCTTGCTGCGCTGCTCTCCAAACTCTCGGACAAGGCGCTCCAGGCAATCTGCGAAAGAAATCACAAAGGGCAACGCATTCAGCTCTGCCTGTTCGGTATAAATTGCTGTCCATTTACCCGGCTCGGTGCGATATTGATCGTATAAGCTTCTTAGCATCTCGTCCTCTTCCGGCTGCCAAAGGTTTTTTCCACTCTGGGCCGACTTTGTCGAGCGTTTGGTGGGCGCCTTGAACAGCAGACCCATCTCCTTCATCTTCTTGAGGACACCACGTCGAGTGCGTGTCTTGTCGGCCAAATTGTCCAGAATCCAATCAATCACATCTGAAAGAGCAGACACAATTGGGTTGCAATGCTTTCTGTTGTTTGCCATTCCCTGCTATTCTGCTGTTCCCTGCGACTGTTCTGGTTGGGACTCGAGTGCCCCAGCTCTGATTGCTTCTATTCATTTACTGTAAATCGAGTCTTAATTCACACTCAGGGCGAGGAGGCAAAGCCCCAACTATGAGTGAATTTTGCCATAGTTACCCTTATCCGTTTCGGGATTCCGTTGATTCTCCTCGAACAGGAAGCGCAGCTCGGTCTCCTGCTCCTCACTCCAGGTGCCTTTGGTTCCCCTATAAAATATGCGAAACCACAAGTTAGAAGGGAAGAACAGCGAACCAATATTGCATTAAACATCGGTTCAGCCATTAACAAATATTCAATAGATCTGGTGTTAAACTCTTTATCACATTTTGTCAATTTGGGGATCATGAAAAAGGGAATGTTAATAAGAAGATCCTGAAGATTCAGTCATGGATTACTGACCATTGCTGGTCTATTGCTCATAATAATGTAAGTCTTCGATACAAATCTTGTTCAAATCAATACGATAATTATTTTTGCGAGTGTATCCATCGTTGTTGTCCATCCCTAGGATAGATATATATCTCTCACTATTCTTGCATGAGGAAATATATTATAGTGCACGTTTTATCCATGAATTTGACTTGCTCTGCCGGACCTCAGAAGCAGTAGCAGTAGCAGTAGGTCGGCATGGGGGGGATGGCCTTGCACCCTTTGACTAGAGGGTATATGCAAATACAATGAGATGGGAAAAGTTGCTCTCTGGCTGGTGGTCATCATTTATCATCTGCCAACTAAACGACAGACGATGAAGCCCAGGCTCAGTCAATCATGCGCCCATTGTGATGATGGGCCCTTTTAACCCCGACGAGACAATGGGCAAGTAAAAGCCAAGGGCGGAGGGATCTAGAGTCGACCGCATGACTGGCCATACTTACGATTCGTAGGCATCACAATAGCCAGTCTCCAGCTCATTTGCCTCCCTGATGCCTTTGTAAAATAATAACTCTGCATAGATTTTGGGATTAGTTGGTGCCACCTCGACAAATTTGCGTACTACGTAGATGCCCAGGCGACGCAGCTCCTCCTGATGGACGTCACGTTCCACGCTGAGGACTTGTTGAAAGATGCGAAACAGCTTGGCCTGTGGGTAGAGACAGAGACAGAGAAAGAGAGTGGGTTCTTGATATTCAAATGAAAAGTTTCTGGAAAGACAGCCACAACAGCAGCTTCCAGACCGGAGTCGAGTGGTTGGGGGCAGCCATTGCCCTTCTGTGGTTGCCGCCTGCGGTTTGCCTCTGACTCTGTCTGAGCAAGATATCATTTGCAGTTGGCAAAAACTTTATAAATGCCCCACCTTCGCCGAAACTAACCCCAAAAACTCCAACCCCCCGCCCAAAGCTCCACTCAACCCTCTGTATCGTTGTTGTCTCCCTGCTCTTGCAGCTCGTCGACTGTCGACCGTATTTGGAATTTAATTTATCCTATGATTGCGCAGACCCATTAGTGGTTTTGACTTTGCATATGATGCTACTTTTGTTTTGTTTGTGGGCAGGCAGGCAGCCGGCAGGCGGCAGGCGGCATCCGACAGCCAGGAGTCAGCTTCCTCTGATGGCCACATTGAAATGGATAGCTCCAGCCGCTCTCGTCATCATTGTCGTAGTCTTCGTCGCTTGTACACACCAGACAGTGAGCCGGCTTAGATGACGCTGATATGTAGAGCTGGCTGGACGGCTGTGCGGAGATTGCGAAACACAGGGCGAATGAGTATCGGCTTTGTCTCCTCTCCTCTTTCAGATGCCGTTTTCGGCTGCTTTGGTGATTAGCCATTCTGCAGCCCCTCTACTGGGATTGCATAAGCGGAGGACTCAACAGAGTTGCCCAGAGCCAAACACTTTAAGCATCGCTTAAAGCCGATGATAAAGTCGCGGAATGGTTAGAGAAGGCCACGTTGCCTGCTGCTGCCTGCTGCTGAATGTGATTTATGAACTCTGGCCAAAAAGAAAAGTTTAATTGCCAGCCGTGAAAAGCAGCATAAGCAGTTGAAAAGAAATCTAACAAAGACTGAAAGCCATTTCCACAAGGCAACACTGCAAATACCCTACACAAGGAAAACCAGAAGTACTTTGCATGTGGCTCAACTAAGTGGAAATTTTCAGAGGACTAGGACTAGCCAAATTTCAAACATTATTGCTCATTAGAGCAGGCTCACCAACAGCTGAAATGTCATAGCTCACAGCTTATTTGATATGCCCCATTCCGCGGGCATACACTTGTACAAACTCAAACACAGACATTTGAATATTTGAGTCGCTCCACCGAAAGCACCGAGCGGCAACCCCACCAACCGATGCTGCGGCTCAAGGCAGCGCGTGAAAGGCTTAAAAAGTTCAAATTCCGGCTGACAACAGAGGGTCTGAAAGGGACCAACGAGCATTCGACGCGGGTGACTCGTTTAAAAAAATATATATACGTTTACTCGTAAAGAACTCGCAGCAAATATCGTTTGTGGCATGGCACAAATAGAAAAAAGGTTCGCTTAATTTGTACAAATTACCATAAAAATGAAATGAAAGCAGCGACAGTAAAAGAAAGTACAGTACACTCGGGAAAATAGTCTACCATTTTTGCTCAAAAATATTCATCTCTACCCCGGAAGTGATGGAAGGAAAAGGCTGGTAAAAGGTCAAGTAAATTTTCAAGCTGATATTCAATTTAACCCTGATAAAAGATATTAACTTTTATGTCAATTCCACTATGTAAACATTCCACTCTCCAGAAGTAGCATCATCAACTGCTTTGGCTATCACCGATTCCCTTTTGGCTTTAAATAATTTACTTCAATTTGGTTACTTAGTTTTATCGGACTTTTTTCTCAGTGCATGTCTAGGGAAAAAAATGAGCCGCAGAATGTCTACTGAGCAGCTAAGCCGCGGCATTTGTTTTTGCATTTGACTTTGATTTATGTGCAGGTCTCTGGCCAAAAGAATTAAAAGCAGGGCCAAAGCCAAGAGGCAGAGGCAGTAGGCAACGACCCCAGAAGCATTGAGAGGCCAACGAGTCGCTGGACCTTAGGACCCTAACTGCAATTAGGTGCAATGCTCCGGCTCACCTGGAAGAGCATTCCGGGGCAGGAGCAGCCGTAGGCGATGCGGTGCAGAACGGTAACGGCCGCCTTCAGGGCCCGCGTGGGAATCTGTGCCCAGTCTGTTAGCACTAGGGTACAGGCGCGAACAATCTTCGGGTGCAGCAATCTGGAAGGAGGAAATATAAAAATAATCACAGGCGAATGTTCAGGCAACCAAGAGTGAGATTTGAGATGTCAGGGATGGCGTGGGGGCGGTGGGGACTGAAAACTCCAATTAAATTATGCTAAATTTAACTAATTATGATTTAAGAGTTTATCCTGCTGGTTGGCCAGGTTTGCCACCCCCAAAAGAGGCCCGCACCCACCGCAGAAACTCCACAGCCTGCGAAAAGTTTTAGAAACATTTGAAACAACAGCAGCAACGGCCACAGCAACAGCAACAGCAACAATGCGAATGGCAGAACAATTAAAATAAAGCAAGCAAAACCAACTTGACGTCATTTTATTATAATGGTTGTAGCTGAAGCTGGATCTGGGACTGTTGCTGGCACTTCTGGGATCTAAGCTGCCTGCGGCATCTGGTTCCCATTCGCCCTTCGCCGTTCGCGTTCGAGTTCGCGGCCATAAAACTTTTGGTACAAGTAATTTCTGACACTAATCCTTAATTAGTAGCCACGAGCTGTAGCAGTGACTCTGCCGCCGTGGCCCGCCAGTGGTCTGCCTTTCAATTAAAAACACAATTACAATTTTCAACACGACCATCACTGCAAACCGCCGACCAACCGATGGACCGACCATGGGAACTTTTCAAATAACAGGCATAAAGTGTAAGCGCCATCCCATCCCACTCCATTCCATCCTCTCTAAACACACAAAATGTCCAAGCGGTTGGCCTTGATTCGAAAACTTTCCAGCCCATTCCAGGGCCCATTTACCTTCGGGCAAAATCATCAAATTTGAACGTTTTCTCGGTGAGTCCTTTATCTGGGTGGGGGGAAGAGAGAACGGGCAAATGCCATTTATTAGCCTAAATTTCCGTAAATTATTTTCATATTTATCACAGATTTGTTTCGGCGACGAAAGCTTACTCTGCTCCTCGAACTCTTCGTTCTCCGCATCATCGTCGTCATCGTTCTCCTCGTCCTCGTCCTCCTTGTCCTCTTCCTGGGGTTCAACTGAAAATATTTATAAAATATCAGCTATAATTGGAACCTCAGTAATTATGATTGAATTTCTCGGGAAATTTATTGTATGGAAATAAAACGAACAAGCTTAATTGGTAAACAAGTTAAAGCGTTTTATACTGTGTAATATTTCGATTTAAAATTACCTCTTACTAGGCTTTAAGCTGAAAACAGTACTCTCACTAAAAAGTGTACTACCAAAGTCCTACCCAAATATTCCTGCAAGACGCTGCCACCACACAAATGGCCATTAACAATAATTATAACTGCAGCAATGCATAAACAAGTTTACTTTACTTACTTCCCAATTCAGACAGAGGGCGGTGCTGGTTACACACATGCTCGTATGATTAAATGCAAAGCCAGTGGAAAGGACACTTTTCAGATATGGAAATAGGCGTGACCCCCCGGCAATGCAATTGGAATGGAGTATGCATGCCTTAGGAGACTTGGCCGGGGCAGCCCGCTTGACTTTAGCTGGTGCTCCCTTAGCTCCGGCTTCTGGCGTTGCACCTGCAGCAGGCATGAAATGGCAGCGCACCAAAAAATGTCAGCCAACCCGAGCTGGATTTCAGCCAGGCACTGCAGGCAGCACGAGAAACAACTTCATTTGCTACCCAGCCCCCAGAAGCCCCGCTCCGGGACCCCTTTGGTAGCAGGAGGCACCAATGGAATTTGCTGCGTTGCATCGCTTTATTAACGTCTTGAATGGGGCCGGTTGTCGTTGTCGGACTCGTTGTCCCTGTCCCTGTCCCTGTCCCTGTCGTTGCCAGTGACGCTATGCCCCATCATTAAAATACAATTTTCTGTGTCAGGTTCAAGCTGTAAGCCCCAAACACGGCACACAGAGCAGGAGACATGGGGCATGCAACACGAACAGGAGTGTTACAGGACGGCAGGACTATGGTGATATTAGTGCATGTCTTTTGGGCTGCCTTTGTAGTTGCATTTGTTGGACTGACACCCCGAACAGGACACCCTGGATATAACCCCATCTCTTCCTTTGGGCCCGGCCGTCCTGCACGGCCATTAAACATGAACCTCGTTACGGCGTTGCTGATGTTCTCGTTATGGCGGCAGCTCCAGGGTGTTCTTGGTGCACAGACACGACACGACACGACGTCACAATGGCACTTTGAAAGTCACACTCGCCCTCGTGCCTTTAAGACCGCTCTCCCCGGGAGTTCTCTGATAGCTCATAGTCCAACGGCTAATTGCTGGGTAACCGTTAGTCGAGGTTTGCCCAAAATAATACGTATATGTCCCCTGTTGTTGTGGCTCAGCTTTGTCTGTACATCGCACTTTCAGGCCACACTTAATGACTTTTGCGCGTCGCACACACCGGACCGGACAGGACAGGGCAGGACACCTGGCCTCCCCTGCATCTGACCTTCGGAACATGTTTTAGGCATCCTGCAGCATGCAAACAAGAACGTGCCTGGTGTTTGGCTTGCGGTATGCACCAGACAAAGTCCCCCACCCCACACTTCCTGCCTGTTATATTTTTCGGTAGCAATTAATTTGAAGTTCAACACGAGCACGGCAGTGTCAGCGACAGCGTCAGAAGGGGTGTGTATGCGTGTGTGTGTGTGTGATTATTACATAATGTGGACAGTGTCAACAGAAGTCTAAGGAGGGGGTGGCGGCTCCAAGATTGTGACTCCGAGCGGCCACAACTTGAGCTACCACCGCAGAAGCTGAAGGCCGAGCCGGACGAGCAACCATCCCGGCGAGTCAACACGGTTTCAAGGACTCGCAAATGCTAACAGGTGACGACACACACACTCACAGGGACACTGCCTGGCGGGGGCATAAACAAAATAATAACAAAACGCAGCGAGCAGGCAACACAAAGAGCAGAGCGCCGCAGGACTGCCACAAAGAGAGGGCCGAGAGATTCAAAAGAGAGAGCCGGCGCAGGCGCGGCTCTCAAATTCGAATTTCGAAGTTCGAACAGTAACCGAAGCCGAGCACAGCAGCCCGAGCTGGCTTAAAAGCATGTCCTGGCCGTATGAGGAGCTCAGTCTAGTGCTGAATCCACCACCGCCAGGACACGCGACACCCACAGCCGGACAGTGCGAACCTGACGTTGACAGTGCTTTGTGCCGAGTAAAGAAGCAACAAACTAATTAGACCATACCCGACCGCTGCCCCGCGCCGTCATAATTTGTGCAACTAAAACTAGGGTCAAGACCAGGTAGACGATCACCCCTTAAGTGCTTAAGTGCTGGCCAGGACCAGGACCAGGACCAGCACCAGGCGTGTGCGAGTGCGAGTGCGTGCATGAGTAGTGTGAGTGGAGTGTGAGTCTGCTTGATTTGTTGTCTGTGGCCTGCTTCCGCTCGACGAAAGCAGAAAGTCAAACTTTTTCTGGATGGCAGACACCAAGGCGTCGCTGCCTGCGTCTCCGGGATTGGGTTAGTTTCGTTTAGTAATGTTTCCATAGCACACTTTCGAGCGCTGCACGTCCTCCGTCCACATTTGGCCAGTGGCCACATTTAATACATATACCTATACGTTTTAAGCCAGCTGCGTGCCTGGCTCATTTCCGCCCGACCCCACGTACATCGCATATATGAGTGTGTTTTTGTGTGTGTGTGAATGTCTGATGGAGTGTGCATAATGTTCATAAAAGCCAAACGCGCTCTCTTGACTTTGAAATCAGCTTACTTCCGGCAGGACACCAGCAGCCGATCTTAAAGCTGTCAGCGTGTAACTTAAAGTGAAATCTATTCCAGTGCCCCACCAACCAGCAATCAGCAACCGTGAAAAAACCTTAAAGCAAACACAAAGCAACGTGAGATAACCATAAACACAACCCAAAGAGAAAAGAAAACGACCAGAGAAAGCGAGCAAGCAGAATAGAGCCAAACAAAACAGTGCAAAGTAAGAGAAAAAACGAATTTTAAACGTCTGCATATTAATCAACGTGCTACCAACACGACGAACAGTCGTCGCCCCGACGACAGCCGGAACAGGATCAAGTCCTAGACAACTTATCACAGAGGATTTACGGACAGACAGAGCAAGAACACGGAGTGTACAGCAAGGCAGGGCTAATCAACGGCCACAGACGAAGCAGAGGCCACTCCCACTGTGTCTCACACTCAGCCTCCCGCCAGGAGAGGGAGCAGCAGGAGCAGCAGGAGCAACAGCAAGAGCAGCGGCCGCCTCATTTGGCCACTGCGGATTATGTTAATTAGGTAATTTTTGCTTTGATTACTCGTACCTTGGGGGCTCTGCAGCAGCATTTTTGTTTGCTTTTGGCCCGCCTTTTATGCACGGTCCTCCTGCTTATGTGTCCGCCAGTTGTCCGCCACTCCAGTGTCCACTCTGCTGCCACACTGCTTACATATTTATGAAATTTTCATGCAAATCGAGCTAATTCATTCACATTTTACCGCTGCTTCCACTTCCACTTCCACTGCCGCTGCTCAGTTTTAATTTTCCGCCTTAATTGCAAGACAATTTTTTCGAGCTGCGTTCTTTGGGCTGCTGTCTCGGTTCAGTTTTAGTTAAGAACTCATAATGAGCCAGACACACCAGCGAAAATTGAAAAAGTTTTCCCACATTTTAATTTACCATTTTCTGTGGCACGGTGAAAGAAACACAATCATTTCGAGAATTATTTGCCGAGCTGCTCGAGTGGAATGACAACTGCCAGTCCATTAGGAGGCTAATCAAAGGCAAATGAAAAATTGAAAATTAATTGCATTCGCCCGAAACATAATCAACACTTTCCAAATCAATTTATGGCCGTCTAATTAAAATTTAAATGAGCATTACAGAATGGAGACCAAACGCCATCTGCCCCCTGTGCGGAGCGAGAATGGAAGCTGCATTAATTATTGCCAGAATAATTTATTTAACAGCTGACATTAAATGGTCAAGTGCACACAGTTTTGCGTCAAGTCGCTTCTTGATTTGATTTCATCAAATAAAAACATTATGTACCGAAACAATATCAAATATTACTCAAATCCAACAGCATGGCCATGTGTACACACGTACGAGTATTGTGCCCCAAGGGCCATACCAATAACCAAGCAATAATTGCGGGCAGTTCGCCCAGTCAATTGCACAATTCCATAAATTAAGGCCTACATAGATGCAAAGAGCAAAATGCAAATCCAAGGCTCCATAGAGAGGACTGGAAGACGGCGAGGGCCAAGGGCTTAGCAAAACAAACTTGTGAATGGTAATGGAAACAAAAACAAAAACAGAAACAGAAACAGCCAGATGCCGGGAGGCTTTCACAACTTTGTGCACAGCCTGCTCCTGCTTCTGTTCCTGCTCCTTCTTATCGATAATTAAATTGTGAAACTGCGAGCTGGGGCCCGACGGTGGCCACAATGGAAATGTGGCCAGAAATCTTGTACAAGTTTTTGGCGCAGTCTCCGCAATCCTAGTCGGTGGCTGGCTGGCCTCGATGGTTTTCATTTTCAACTTAATTTGATTGATTTCTGCTTCGTTTGTGGGATGGCACATGAAATTTATACGCCTGTATTATGCATGCAAAGCTGTTTTGGTGCTCATGGAAAAGTATTATGCAATTCCTGTGGGACATTCACTTATTTATGTGGCGCACAATCGAGGCCAAACATAGAACACAAAGCCGAGTAAATGATGTAGAAATAAATATCACTTTATGTACGATACGTGGCCAGCGGGAGTGTATCCTTTTAGTGGCGAAATGTCGGGCATAAAGCATTTGACAGGCGAATTAAGCCAACGCTAATTCGACTTTTATCTATCTTGCCAATAAAACTCCGCCAGGCAGAGCAGCCACCGGTTCAGGTGCTCGGAAAGCCATAAAGTCCGTTCCGGGGTGGCAATTAATGCAGCCTCAACATCTAATTAGAAGGCAGCAAAAGTGCCGCCAGTCGGGCCAGATAACACACGCACCTCAACCTCTTGGGGCTGGGCTGAATGTAAGGCCAGCCCCTGTCTATGGGGGTGGGTTGACAGGACGACGGAGGCTCAATTAAGGG